TTCACGGCGGTGACTATGAAGAAAGCAGTCTTCTGGGATTTGGCACCGTGTATATGTGGTGTTAACCGACGTTTCGGAGGAACGTATCGCCCCCATCTTCAGGGTAGAAGAAAAAGTATAAGAATTCTGCAGACTGCTTGACCGTGTCTCACGGTGTTGTCGCTTGCAGATTTACTTATACTTCTTCAACCCTGAAGATGGGGGCGATACGTTCCTCCGAAACGTCGGTTAACACCACATATACACGGTGCCAAATCCCAGAAGACTGCTTTCTTCAACGTTTAAAGTGTCTCTCTCATCCCAAGTAAAGTCCACCAGTTGATAACAAAATTACCACCTAATATTAGAAGTTATGACAGAACGTTGGCTGAAGCGGTAATGTTTCCGGCTTGTATTCAGGAAGCATCCGGTTCTGATCTGAGCAGTGATACCAACAGTCCCGACTGAGATTGTCTTCAGTTCTGGCCAGCTGCTCCCATTGATTGTTCACTATCGTCCAGTCTGTCGAGGCTGCGGACGTTCCCCTTCCTCTGGGTTCCCGAACGGTCCCAGGCCTCAGGTGCCAGCTTGTCACAGCAACAGCTCATAACGATTGAGCCCCCGGGGTCCTCTGACTGACTTACAAATCATCCAACTTACTGACTCTCACTAACTGTTCTGCTTATAACACATCGGCACCGACCGCACAGAACACACCGTTCCTCTGTTGCTGTACCATTGTTGCGTTCGTGTCTGTTGGGTTTCCCACGTGATCGCTACTCAGACATTACCTAGCAAAGGGTCTACATGCCAAAATATTAGAAATTTTATAGACATGAAATAAAAATAAATTAAATAGTAGTATTTGCAGTTAATTTGGGCTCACGGAAGGAAAATGGAGACCCCTAGTAAGGCTTGGGGCCTGGGCACCATTGAGCGCTCTGTCGCAGTACCCAAGCCCCAAATCACCATTATTCTGCCACCCACTCAACCCACTCAAGTTTGGGTTCTGCCATCTTCAAAGATGTGATAGATACTATAGGCTTGAAGATGTACAATTCTGTGGCCGAATTGAATCTGCTAGGAAATAGATACTCCTTTATTGTATTTAATTATGTGTTTGAGAGAATATACGCTATCATAGGAACAAATTGAGTGCTGTGGGAGGGTGCCCATATTTTCTGGAGCGAACATTCAGTTGAACAGTTGTCGTTCAGTAAACGAGTAATCAGTCAGTCCTTTGTCCGGACCTTTCACTTTGTGAAAGTGATTATTCTCTTGGAAACAATTTGCATGTACTAGAACAGTGTAAATTGTGAAATTCACACTTTATCTGCTTGGATCTTACAGGATGTGATTGATGAATATGTAGAGCGCATGAAAAGAAGAGGATCCATGTACAAAGCAATTGATCCCACGTACTTGAAGTGGACGCCTTTCGTAGCACCAGCCGCCACTGGGCCCACTTGATACTCGGAGAATGCCGTAGAAGTGTCCCGAGAAGAAGGTAAGGCTCAGCTTGTTGTGAAAGCACTGTGAACTTGTTGCTTGCTGGGATTATGAGAACTTATCATATGCACATTCATAAAGTGATGTTGACTTTTTCAAGTCTGTGACGAGACAATCTGAGGAAAGACAGGATTTGATTGAATATAGAAATGTCTTCATTTACATGAAATGCGTTTAATAGATGGAGGAAAGTGGAATAGCTTTCAAGGAAATGTAAACAAACTTTGTAAATTGTTATATATTATGTAATAATAAGTATAATGTAAAATTATGTTTATGAGGATAAGGAAGGATTTTGTAAGATTTTATTATTAAACTATGTAAAATGGTTGTACAATAACAGAAAATGTTTAACTGGCTCATAGTATTATGTTGTTTAGTACTACTATATGTGAAAATATTTTAATTGTGGTATAAGTAAAAGCTGAAGGCTGCATAGTATAATCTCTCCCAACGGCCTTTTTCCTTGCCTAATACATTAAACAGATTTGAACCATGGCTAGTTTTGTTAATGTCACATGTCAAATTTTTTTGTAAAATCTCTTGTATTTTGCTGTTCTTAAACTTTATGTAAGGAAAAAATAATTGTTTTATTATCTAATATTATTTTCAAAAACTGGCATGTAAACAAACATGTGTCTGTAAGATTTGAGGTTTTCTCGGTGGTGACAAAGAAGAATGCCGTCTTCTGGGATGTGGCGCCGTGTAGATCTTGTGTGAACCGACATCTCGGAGGTTCCTCATCCCAGAAGACGTCATTCTTCAAACATGTGTCTGTTTTACTGCTGCTGACATATGCAGTTTTGAAACTCTGTATTATAACAGGTTCAATGTAACAGAAGGTAACTGTTTCTTTAATATTTAAATGTTGAGAAATGGAAGTGGTTTGGAAGATTCTTTGTGATTTGAAAAGACCACAACTAATCCGTAATTACACACACACACACACACACACACATGCAACTCTGGGAAAATTATTATTTTATGAAATGTGATGTTGGAATGACAAATAGACAAACGTTTAAAAGGATAAGTAAATGTATTATCAGAGAGCCACAGCCATATTTTGGTGCTTCAAAGCTACAGTGGGTTACCTATATCCATTTTACAAGATCTTCATGATAAGTTTTAATCTATTACTCTGCTCAATGGCCGGAAGGTCGTGGGGTCGAATCCCGATTAGGTCATTGGATTTTTTCAATTTACCTAATCCTTCCAGCCGTACTATGGCCCTGGGGTCGACTCAGCCTCTAAGAGAAATGAGTACCAGGAATATTCTTGGGGAGTAAAGGGCGGCCAGCGCGTAAGGCTGACAACCTTACCGCCATCTATGAGCCGATTGTCTAGAAAATGTGGGAACCTCAACATCCCACAACCCTATGGGCCTCCACCGCCTGTTACAGGGATAGCTTTACCTTTACTTTACTTTACTGTGCTCAAGAAGTATCTTGTTGTTCTAGAGCCCACAACTCATTTCTGATCATCTGAAACTATTACCATTCAACTTTACCCTCAGGCAGTTTAATTCAACTGATATCGCTTTATGTGTCTCTTAGATATATTTATATATTCTGTCATTATAAAGTGGTGTACTTACAAAAAGTTTTCCAACCAACTTTCCTATGTCTTGTTTCTTTGCACATATTAAATGTACAGTCTGCCTCATCCTTAATGTTATAACAACCCCGTACTGGGTTATGGTGATAAAATTTGATGGTATGTTGTGTACAAGTTATTTCTTATGTTATGTAGTTAATAACTATGGTCCTGACCACAAAATGAAATGAAATGAAAATGAAATTCTAAAATTGAGAGATTTGGTGAGGAATGAATGTAGCTCCAGAAACATAAGAATATGTGTTGTTTTGTTGTCATGTGATTTAGCAAACGAACAAAGACGATTTCGTAGAAAGTAATGTGAATCCAGTGATGTACCGTTTATATGAATACAGTTTTAACACACACATGCAGTAAAAACTCAGTTTTTGTTTCTTTCTAAAAGGTATTGAAACTCTTAACTACATTATTTTTGTTCCAAGCACTTCCATATCTGTTCATGCAGACATCTGAATTAGATTAATACAATTCACATTTCTTCAAATGAAACTTAGATGTTATATATTTAGTGTTAATTGAAAGAAACGTGTGCTACCGTCACTGGACTTTTAAAGCTAATTATGATTTCTTCGACTACTTATGTTATATATTAACATGAAATATGCTAAGAGAACAGCATACTTTTTTACTTTACAGAGCATCAGGACCGGAAAGCTTTGATTTAAATTGTGGTATGGAAAGGTTATCATTCACGAAAGCTACATTCACTCATTAACCTCTGTACATCGATGATTTATTATTTAAATTAGATTATGTTTGAGCTGTAATGTCCTGCCTCTTCAACCAGTACACATACATATATGCAGAACACACACAAGCTTATCATTTAAAAACATGTAATTTGTACTACATACTGACAACTGTGCAGTCTTCCTTATTGACTAAGTACTGTTAGCATCGCTGTGAAGGCACGTTTGTAACACACGTGTTATATGACAGAATTTTTTCTCCAGCAATTAGAATCGACTCTTGCAATGTATTGTAATCCCCGTATTTGTAGGTATGAGATCATGTGATCACTTTTGATACTTTCTTTGGATAATTTTATGGAGAGTTCATATGGATATGCTGTAAGTCAGGGGTACACATATTTATTGACATTTCATCTGTTTATTTATATATCTCATTAAGCATATAATATATATATATATACATATACGAAGTATATCCGGAAAGTAAAGATACAAAATCCAGAAACTATTTGTATAGCATTTTTTTTTGGGGGGGGGGGGGTTTCGCTTGGATCGTTTTTTCAACAACCCTTTTT